TACCGATGGACGTCCGCAAAGCTTCAAATACAATACAGTTATCTCTATTCTAATGCAAAACAAGTACATAATTCAATTTCAATCATTATTTCAGTGTAAAATTTTCATTAAAGAAAATTCCGCGAAAAGATGTTATCTTCTTTGGCCCCTAAACTAGGTGACGTCATAGGTATGCTTCCGGCGTCAAATGTAAACATCGGGCGTTTTCTAGCTTCTTGACCGCTTCAGAATGTAATAAAATTTGACAAAAAGAAGATTTCTAGGTTCAACATGTGAGTTTTTTGCTTATTATTGTAGAAATTACATGTCAATACATTCCGCAATTCAAAATGTCGGCTTCCTTAGTTACAGACAAGGAGATAGAGAATTGTACGCTTAGTGTCATCCAATCAGAACCATTGATACAAAATAATTGCATTAGAATCAGCGGTATTATAACAAAAAAAGCCGTGGCACTCTAATGGTTAACTATTGAGTTTCGGTTAAATTTGAACTGCATTTCAATATTTGAGGGCCGAATATGGTATAAAAAATATTAATTTCTATTATGGTTATTGTCCGTTATCTTTTTCTCGTATGAAGAGATATTTCTAAAATAATTCTTATATGATTTGCATATTAGAGAATACGTTGATATGATTTGTTGAGAGGACTTCCGGTAGTTGTTCTTGACGTTGTTTATTTTTCGATAGACGACGTTGACCGAACTTCTTTTCGTAACCAATGTAAGCAAGATGGCGGCGATAATGACACAATCCGGATCGACGTTAACAAAATTTATTTTCAATTCGCGTTAATAGGTCTTTTAAAATAGTTAAATTAAATAATAAACACAAAACATTCGTTTGAATGATAATAAGAGTTTTTGTAGTTTATTTTTTATCAGATTGCAAATTTCATGGAGTACATATTTTTGCGTTAACCAACAAATATATTCATGCGCCAGGCCTATTCAATGACACAAATATACAATTTACGTGTGATAGAGGTTACGAGTGTGGAAAAATAAATTATCTCCAATTTTAAAGAATTATAAGGATTAAACGCCTTTTTAAAGGAATTTATTGGTGTATAAACTGTACCAAGTCACTCACAAACATATCATAAAAGTCCTTCGGACTTTTATTTGTTTGTGAACGAATTGGCCGAGTTTATACACCAATAAATTCCTTTAAAAAGGCGTTTAATCCTATAATATTCACAAAAAATGCGTTAATTTGATTGACTTATCCAGCATTATGAAACGATATTGCCACATTTCCAGTGGCTATTCGTTATGTCTTTGATGACTTGCAAAGGTATAAACGATATACGTTGCCTCCATGGCAATGGGGAAAAGCCATCTCTTCAATAATATACAAAACACTCAAACTTTTTCGGTTTAACAACTCGTAAGAATTGAATATCGTTTGATACTCGTTAAACAATTTAAAAAGTAATAATAAACTCGACAAAGGCTCGTTTATTATTATATAGAAAATAAAATAAATAGCTCTCACTATTTACAAAACAGTACACAGTATGTTTTGGGACACTGTAATTTTGACTTGACGCTTAAAAAATTGTTTTCTATTGCGTCCTTTTCTGATTGGTAATTTTAAAACAAAGGGTTCCAATTATGAATATCTTTACGTGAGACTTTGATATAATACAAACGTAAAAACTACATAACATTATTTGCTACCTAGTATTAAAGCATATTTATTACTTAAGTCTTATACTATAAGTAATAGTGTTGAGCTTATTCTAGGTACATATACCTTTCTTGCCGTTTCTACATAGTTATTTTTATATTATACTTTATCCTTTAGTCAACAATGTACATCAATAGATATAAGAAGATGTGGTATGAGTGCCAATGAGACAACTCTCCATCCAAGTCACAATTTTTTAAAAGTAAACCATTATAGGTCAAAGTACGGTCTTCAACACGGAGCCTCGGCTTACACCGAACAGCAAGCTATAAAGGGCCCCAAAAAGTACTAGTGTTAAACCATTCAAACGGGAAAACCAACGGTCTAATCTATATAAAAAACGAGAAACGAGAAACACTTATGAACCACATCAACAAACGACAACTACTGAACATCAGATTCCTGTCATAGGACAGGTGCAAACAATTGCAGCGGGTTTAAACGTTTTAGTGGTACCAAAACCTGCACCCTTATCTGAAACAATAGTGTAACATCAAAACATAGGACGACACACTATAAAATATCAATTGAAATGGCTTAACTCAATTAAAAGACATATTAACACCAGTGAACATACAATGAACAAATAAATTTGATCTATGATACAATGTAAATACAAAATAAATAAACTAAGGGAGGAATAATTAAAGTAACATGTTATACCGCTGTGAAATGTGAAACAATTCAAGAAAAACAATATGCTTGAACAAAAATAGCAGCCATTTGCAATTACTTTAAACACAGGTAAATGAAAATAATTTTGTTGTTAGGTATACGTGTACAGTTCAAATGGAGAAAGGAAATATTTTTACAAAATAAATAATTTTGATGTTTATAGTACGAAGAAGTGAAAATTTATAGTAATACCAAACACTTATCAAAGCTGGTATATAGACCTGATATAACTCTGAAAAAGTAAACATTAAATAACAAAAAAACATTACAATTAGTATCAACAGGTCAAATAAACAAGAAAGTACGATTTGAGAGTACTCGCAGTTACTGACAGCTAGTTAAAAGCCAAAAACAATTAATAATAAAAATTCATGCATCAGAGACTAAAATCAACTAAAACACATCCCAGGGATTCAGTATTTTAACGTCATGGACAGTCAAAGAAGACATGCCTTGTGCAATCCCAAAAATAAATGTATCGACAGGCAGTAGGATAGTTAGGAGTAAAAACCTCTTTATAGATCAAAATGAACGTGGGTTTGTCTTTATACATCCCGTTTGAAAAGAATACAAATATAGTTATGTTTTAGTTTGCTGATAACAAAATCGATATTAGTGCCAATGTAAACTATATTCAAAGATCTAATTACAACATTGGTAAAATAACCTTTACTAATACCTGTACAATGTATTTTTGTATTTATTTAAAGCATGGTAATCAGCTTTTTCTCATATGAACCACTTAGTACTACTTTGAAATAAAGTCAGTGATCTTATATATTTCGACAAGCCTTCCAATGGATTTTACATAGGGACGATAATTTTGTCACTTCATAAGGAATTTCTTCACCTTAACCTCTGTCTTGAATGTTATCCACATTACGGTTACGATATGACCACAGGGATGATAGGTATATTGTAGATTTGGTTAGTTATATGTTGTTGGGTAATTACATGTATCATCAATATTTACATCTAAAAAATTAAGAACGTTTAATTTGGTACGAAATTATCGGTAATTCAATATTATTAAAAAATGGTGGTATACATTTTTGAACAAGACAGTCTCTGAAAACGCTAGAAATATTATGCAATCCATTTCAAAATACAGATGTACGATGTGTTATGCAGGTGCTGATATATTTAAAATCTGAAATTTCTCCGGAAATCGAAAACGATATAAATGTTTCAAAAGAGAGCGCAAAATCTATAAAGTCATCTCAACCCGTTACAATATCCCCTAGCATGGAAAACATGAGTTCTACCTCATATTTTAAAAGACAAGTACCTAAATGAGACATACCTTACAAGGTATCTTTAGTTAAAGTAGGAATGTTAACAAAATACTCAATATCTCAAACGTAAGCATAATCCGTCACAAAAACAAGATGATAAATGTAACTCAAACAGCTAAAACAAATATACAACTCGTTACAGAGACATGTCAGTGAGTCCTAGTAACTACTAAAGGTCAATACTATATACACATATTTCACATACCATGTATCATATACAAACTATAAGGTATTCTACAAAGTTTAAATAAGAGAAAAATCCAACAAAGCTAGTTATAAAACATACAGAAACGTCATTTTTTTGCGTTAATCGCTTGCCACCATAGTATATAACGTAAAACAATATCTCAGTTAAAATGGTTTTGTTCATCTCGTCAATGCATACAATTTTATATGTACATGTTTAATACGGGGGTTGTATCGACTGTAGATTAATTGGTTTGCTATGGTCATATCAGCGTATCAGGTGTGAATGACCTGGTCGGGGAACGCAGTCTCCTGGAAAGCTGATATGGGTCCGAATTTATACCTCTGGCCGAACAGTCTCGTTCCCCAATGGTAAATGATGGCAATTAACGTGGTCCTGATAAGATGCTGATCACGGGTCATGAAGTCACTGTCCTCAGTAAACTTTGATGGAAGGACCCCGTTTAAAATATATAAATATATCATCTGTGATAGTTATTACGCTTGGAAGAGACAGTGTACCTCTTACTGAAGGTGTTATCCTTTACTGTTACAAGTATAAAGCTTCTGTATTTCTCACTAACGCCTTTGATTTAAATTGATATTCGGGTATAATATTTGTATAACGGAAATATCATTAAGAGCTTGTCTCACAGGAAACAATGCAAAAGTGTTATGAATTTTTTTCATTTTATTGAACTTTTCGCACTTGATTATTATCCGTATCCTACTACACCCTGTTCATTTTTACACAATTTATGATTTGTTGTTCAGAAAGGTAGTCGTCGAATTTAGATATATATATTCTATAATCATATTTACGTATACATCACTGTAGAAAATAAAATATTTTGTTTCCTATTTACGATCTTTAAAAATAAATACATTTACACTAAAAAATAAAAAGACGCCAACTTGTTTTGTGATGAATTATTGAGCCTAGTTTATACAGCACTGCATACGAAAGTTTATTATCTGTTCTATTTACTCAATGTTTCAGTTGTTCACTAGGAAAATCGAGTGGCAATCAAAACTTGTCGCACGTAATGTTACTTTATAACCTTTTAATTATTTCACACTTATATTTTGTGCGCTCAGAAACCTACCATATTCATAGTAATTAATTGACATAACTTCATAGTACACTTACTTTTGAGAGCAGTTAACATTATCTAGTCTTCCTTTGGATAAATATGACATCAGTGTTGTATTACAGATGACCGATATGTCTAATGTATCAAACTTTGGTCCGTTTTTCAAATATATATAAAACCCACCGATGAAGATATCTATCTAATGATAAAAAAAAGATTATTTTATCAAAAAAAAAGTTCATTCTAAAGACTATTTTATAAAAATAAGGAGATGTGGTATCATAAACTGGTGTAGTGATAAGTGAACACAATAGGAGCCCAGTTTATTGGTATCATAGCCAATGAGACCACTATCCACCAATGTTCAAATGAAGTGGATGTAAGCAATTATAGGCAACCGTACGGCCTTCAACAATGGGAACAATCCATACCGTACAGTCGGCTATAAAAGGCCCCGACATGAAAAATATGAAACAATTCAATTGAAAAAACTAACGGCCTAATTTATAACAAAACAATTTACGAAAAACAAATATGACAGACATGAACCAACGACAACCACTGAACTACAGGCTCCTGACTTGGGACAGGCACATAAAGAATGTGGCGGCGTTAAACATGTTTGTTGACGCCAGACCCTCCCCCTAACCTGGGACAGTGGTGTAACAGTACAAGATAAGAACAAACTATAAAAATCAGTTGAAAAGGGCTTAACTCATCAGATCGATACAAAGCAGAAAAACAAGTAACAAAAACACAGACATGACTTGGCAAGAAAGTTATACACATCACAACAAAAAAGACACAAAGTACAGATTTGAGATTACTCGCAGCTCCAGACAGCTAGTTCAAAGCCAATAACAACTAATAAAAAAATCATGCATCGAAGAATGAAAATATCAATTAGTACACATCCAATGGATTTAGTGTAAAGACGTCATTAACAGTCAGAGAAAAACTTGACCTTGTGCAATGCCAAAATATAGGTATCGACAACTTAGAACGTGAATGTGCATATGTGTATTATCATAATATTTAGAATGGTTTTAATTTACTGATAACAAAATCAATATTTATAAATGCCAAAATATAGGTATCGACAGATTGTAGAATCGTGAGTGTGCATAACAATAATATTTATTATTAATTAACTACTCTGCTATTGGACTTATTAATAATATGATGAAAACTGCCTGTGCTATACAATGGTGTCGACTCGGCCAATACAGAATAACTCTGTCAATAGTGATTTTTCCCTGTTGGCCGAGTTCTGATCGGCCAATACAAAATTTCGGAACGTCTCTGGTCAAAAGTCATGATGAACACCAACTTAATGTGAACTATCGTTTGGAAGACGCTGTTTTATTTACACACCATATTAAAACATGCTGGAACGTTCAGTATGGCAAATATTTCAGGCTGAAAACGGTCACATTAATTGAAAAAGGCCTTTTGTAAGTAGACAATTTAATTATTTCAGGCTTGGGCAACTAGTCTGTATAGATTATCACAAAGCTCATTTCTTGTCGACTTCATTTTTAACATTTTATCAGTTTAAAGTCATTTGAAACTTCAAATTTAAAAAAAAAAAGCTGAATATATTTTATATACTTGAATGGCTAAGTTTTACTAAAAGAATGTAAACAAACATACACTGGAAGCTAAATAGTAATAAAAGATTCTTAAAGAACAAATTTAATACAACTCATTTAAAAACCGTAAAGGAAAAGTTTAATTAACAAATGGGAACGCGTGGTAATGTTGAGAAAAAGTTGTTTTCAGTACCGGAAGTTTTAATCATTTTTCAGTACTGAAAATTTCAGTCATTTTTCAGTACTGAAAATTTCAGTCATTTTTCAACACTGTAAATTTCGGTCATTTCACAGTACTGAAAATTTTAGTCATTTTTCAGTACTGAAAATTTCAGTCATTTTTCAGTACTTAAACTTTTTGTCATCTTTAAGTACTTCTATACATATACAATATTTGGTCAATGTTGGACAAATATAAACTTTTTTGTATGAGGCTGAGAAACTGGGGAAGGGCGAGGTTTTACCGAGCCCTTCCCCAGTTTTGTCAGTGCCGAATACAAAACAGTTTATATCTTTATGACATTGACCTAATAATGTTTTTATAGTGCAACTTAAATTAATACATTGATAGCTTTTTAAATCGTAACATAAATGTCTGACTTATTTTAATCCCTTAATGAACCCCTAATTGTGGAGAAAGTTTTCCACGATGAAATTGACATTGCACAAAATATAAATGTATAGAAGTCAACGACAACGGAAGCCCGCAATGAGAACGGTTTAAATCTTTTGCTGACGACTTCAAAATCGACTCAGGACCAGATTCTTTAAGGTAAAGAGTTACGACTTAAAACAAAGTAGTTCACATTTCATTTGGTTAGTATGTTATGGTGGTCATGAAGTTGAATATGGTGTTCAAACTTAGGGCATTTTAGTTGGGAGTAAGACAATTCGACCTGGAGACAACTCGGACCATCTATAATGCAACTCAGACTAAGTATAAAATTAGACTTTGGAAGAAATAAATGACTTAAGAAAAAATAATGTGTCTGATGAGAAGTATCTGATACATTTTTTATGCCAATTTCAGTGGTGGATCCAGAGGGGGGCGTAGAGAGCATACGCCCCCCTTTTACTTGCACTTTTTTTTTAGATTAATTAAGACTGTTAAAATGATTTATCAGACTAGATTTCGGTGACTTTGCCATTTTCCGTATACATGGTATATTTTATACGACAATTCGATACTTTAATATAAAGATGTTACCGTGGAGTTGACCAGTACGTCGAAAAAACGTCACTCGGTCATTTTGAAATTCAAGAACAGTCACACATTGCGAAGACAAAGGATGGAGCAAGGACGTATTGACTCCTATTTCACTATTCCACCCAATAGAAGGCAAACCACTCACATGATAAAAAAAGTTCCAAAGCTATAATATCTGGCCCTGATTTTTGCCTTAAAACATTCTAGTCGTACCTGGATTGATAACAATAATCTTCCACACTTTTTGTTGCTATTAGAAAAAAAAATTCCAACAAATCTTTTAGCATCATATGTATAAAAACGGGCGAATTTTTTTAACGATTAAATGCCCTATTACTTTAGTGTGTCCATAACAACATTGAACTTGCCTATGACAGAATCATTGACGATTTTACTCGACGAAATCAGAGAAAGATGTTTCTTGTAAACCCTACGGCTTTAACGAAATATTTGTACAGAAGTCATCACTAGAAAAATCTCAATAAATGTTTTTGTGGATTCATTTTTTATTAATAAGTGAATAAAGTAAAACATTAATTATATTAGTATGTATGATCAGATACATCTGGGATGAGAATCACAAATTCGCAATGCATTCTTCAGATGCTAGTTGTGACCTCTATTCCAGTGACTGACATACACATAGCTAGGGAGAATTTTTTCATGTCCATTTTTTTACTGACACATCCCACATCAAATATATTAGTACATAGCTTTGGAACCATTCAATCATTTTATAATAGACAATAAATGGGGAGAATACGGCATCAAAAATATCCAATCCTTACACTTTAACTATAAAATAAACATGCCCCACGTCAGGAACCGTTTAATTAGTGCATTTTACACTTATTTTATGTTTTTTAGCCCCAAAAAGGTCCCCAAAAAAAATCGTCCCGCTACGCTTGACGAACACTTCTATTCTACGCTACGCCCCCACTTTCAAACATCCTGGACCCGCCCCTGAATTTTGAGCATGTTTCAAGTATATATAAAAATACCGTAAACCAGGTCCGTACATGAAGAGACGTCTATATCAACAGTTGGGTACTAGTGATGATCCAAAGTATTTTTAGTTCCCTACCTGCTTGAAGATATTAATTTGATATATTAAAACTAGAAGACATTTACAGGTCAACATGCGGTTTTCTTTTTATAAATTAGAATGTATATCAAAATATTTATGCTCATAACATTTATTTCAGATTCAGTTTAATGGAACTTAAAATAATTAAGTGCTTACATCCTTAAAGCAACCTTTTCGAATGCTGTCAAAACTTCCATTTCTGTAGAATTGTCCTCCTTCATTACCACAGTGTAAGCCCTTCATTCCAAGGAAATCAGAGAGATCGGTTGATGCATTATCACTACTCGAAACTTCCAAGTAATAAGAAGAACCCCTGCCATCTAATAAAAGATAAATAAAAACATTGTGATTTTTTAAATAACATAATATTATAACGATAATGTGTCTTTCTATACTATTTAAAGTAATTTATAGATTAAACTAATATTTCAATGCCCTCGATCAGAGCTGGCCTAAATGATTTAGTTTTGTTAAGTTAATATTTTTTGGTACCAAAGTATTTTTTCTTCATTGGTATTTTTATTTCAGAACAATGGGCATCGAACGTACCCCTGTCGGTAATAACTCCGAACAATCGGATTGTAAGCCGTACATAAAAAAAAAACTGCGATGTCAATTAATATGTTAAGCAAAAATATATTATGTTAAATAACACAAATACACTGGAAAACCAGGAAATTATATATTGAGTTAGATATACTGTTCCCAGGGAAAACTAAAAAGAAATCAAGCAGTTTCCACATATATCATCTACAGATATGGACAAAATTAACGTTAGAAATCGTGATTTTAATTAAAAAGATGTCGTTGGATAGCATTCCACGACGACTGAAAGGTGTACCTTAAAAGTGTACGTCAATAAATATTTTATTTTACCATAGACATTATGATATCCAGGATTATACTAGGAGGATCAGGATTGTACTTAATGTTTAGTAGGATTCAAGATATTACTAAAAATCATGGTTAATAAGATCCGTATCGTACTTGTATTGTTCTGGGTTGTGATAGATATTGGGAATATTGACAATATTAAATTTTGCTTATATTGCGTTCATACATTTTGTTAAGCACGGTTAGTATTATATGTTCCTTCACAATTGCAGGCGTAAATTAAATAACAATAATCACTCAAGTTTATATTTTTATTTATGTTCAATATGTAAAATCTTCGGTGGTGCAGAATTGCTAGTGGAATTGAGTCTAGGAAGATTGTATGTAAATCAACAAGATCGTCTTTTCTGAATAATGATTTTGTAAAAATGCTTTCTCTAACTTGATTTTTATAATGGCGGCCAGTTTTGATTTGTTGATGAAGCCCACAGGAGCTTGACTTTTGTAAAAAGGTATTTTATTTAACAGAGACAACAGCCTGTGAGGAAGCGGGAGTACCTGGAGAAAACCACTAACCTTCGGCGGGAAAACTAACAATCCTTGCAAATTAAGACCGGAACCGAACACATAAGTAGTTAAACTTACAATAGCACTGTGTATCAGCACCATCGGAAATGGGTACCAACGAAGCGGAGAGAAAGGACAAAAAAAAATAATCAAGGTAAGAAATCCTTTAATTTAAACCATTTCTACCATGTTGATGAGGTTACCGCTTATGAAACGATTTTCTGATAAATGGTGCTTTATGCCCACAAGTAGCAAACTGTCAAACAACGACAAAATTGTGTGTTATACTTCAAAACTGAGCACTTGGTAGTAGAACATTTCGAGGTCAATCGCCCTCCGACATCCCGCTGGCCATATATTCAACTGATTTTAATTCTTTTTTCCAGACAAATTTTTAGAATATGATAGTGTGACATCATATTTACTGAAATTCGCTATCAAAAAGATGTTTTCTAAATAATATCCGTAAAAAAACAATCAAGCTTAGTGTACGGCAACTTGCTCATGCTTACAGATTTACAGTACGGCAACTTGTTTTCCAACTGTATGGCAACAAAAAAAATATGCCGTCCTTTTCAAGAAATAGCGCTATAAGTTCAAATGCCTAGTTATGCATTATATTTCTTATGTATCCGAGTTTACATCTGTCATTCAGATATGAGGTGCAATGTAATGTAGTCAATTTTGATACATTGAACAATTCAAATAAAATTGAGAATGGAAATGGGGAATGTGTCAAAGAGACAACAACCCGACCATAGAACAGACAACAGCAGAAGGTCACCAACAGGTCTTCAATGCAGCGAGAAATTCCCGCACCCGGAGGCGTCCTTCAGCTGGCCCCTAAACAAATATATATACTAGTTCAGTGATAATGAACGCCATACTAAACTCCAAATTGTACACAAGAAACTAAAATTAAAAATAATACAAGACTGACAAAGGCTAGAGGCTCCTGACTTGGGACAGGCGCAAAAATGCGGCGGGGTTAAACATGTTTATGAGATCTCAACCCTCTCCCTATACCTCTAGCCAATGTAGAAAAGTAAACGCATAACAATACGCACATTAAAATTCAGTTCAAGAGAAGTCCGAGTCTGATGTCAGAAGATGTAACCAAAGAAAATAAACAAAATGACAATAATACATAAATAACAACAGACTACTAGCAGTTAACTGACATGCCAGCTCCAGACTTCAATTAAACTGATTGAAAGATTATGTCTTCATCATATGAATATCAGGCACAATCCTTCCCGTTAGGGGTTTAGTATCATACCATCATAACATATATGAGAAGAACATAACCCGTGTCATGCCAACAACTGGTTTTTAAATAAATGTGTTTAGTGCCGATGCAAAGACCCTATAAGTGAATCAATATTAACGCCAAAATATGCAATCTTTAATGACCTGACAACAGTATCGTAACTATATCCCTTCTTAATAAGTCTATTTAAAGGTTTTGTTAGCTTCAGAGGTGAATACTGACATTTTTGTGCTTTATAAAGTATATTTCCATAAAAAATTGGATGTGAAATACCTGAACGTATAAGAAGTCTGCATGTTGAGCTATATTTACGAATGATGTCCTTATACCGATGATAAAATTTAGTAAATGTTTTGACTAGTTTGTGATATCGAAAACCCTGGTGTAATAATTTTTCAGTAATACATATATTTCTCTCGTTAAAATCTAAAACATTGTTACATACACGAGCGAATCGTACAAGTTGAGATATATAAACACCGTAAGATGGTGACAAGGGAACGTCACCATCTAAAAATGGATAATTAACGATAGGAAATGAAAAATCATCTCTTTTATCATATATTTTAGTATTAAGCTTTCCGTTAATGATATAGATATCAAGATCGAGGAAAGGGCAGTGGTCATTGTTAGTATTAGCTTTATTTAAAGTAAGTTCAACAGGATAAATTTCTTTAGTATACACACTGAAGTCGTCATTATTGAGAGCCAAAATATCATCCAAATATCTAAAAGTATTATTAAATTTGTGTATCAGATGTTGTTTCGATGGGTCTTTGCTAATTTTTGTCATAAATTGTAACTCATAGCAATACAAAAAAAGGTCCGCAATAAGTGGTGCACAGTTAGTCCCCATTGGAATTCCGATAACCTGACGATATACGGAATCTCCAAAGCGAACAAAAATGTTATCTAGTAAAAATTCAAGGGCATATATAGTATCAAAGCATGTCCAATTGACATAGTTTTTTTGTTTATTGCTACTAAAAAATGACCTAAAAGAGTTTGAACATATATATTCACATTCTGACTTTTTAAATGCCCATTTAATTAGGTGTGTGAATTTTTTCTTAATGAGAATGTGAGGCAATGTGGTATATAGGGTAGAGAAATCAAAACTTTGAACAGATTCAAAATCACCAATATATGCATGCAATTTATCAAGTACTTCCAACGAGTTCTTGACAGTCCAAAAGTAATTAATTCCACTATTTTCGAAGGCCTTATTTGAACAATTTATTATCAGATTTTTTATTGTACCAAGTGTACTGGTAAGAAGAATAGACAATTTAGTAGTGGAACAATGGCTTGAAGACGAAATGAATCTATATTTGTAAAACCCAGTTTACCTTTTCTCCCAGTCATAAAATTATGATATAAAAAAAAAGATTAAGTTAATAAAGCGTTTACAATTTGAATACGATACATACGACAGCGGATAAATGTTTTGACTTTCTTTTACACTTTTAAATTAGATGTGTCTTTGACAGGCTACTCGTGTGGTTAAATGACAGCTCTCATCAGCAAAGCAAATTCAAATGATATTTTACATATACATTTTATGTAAACTAGACTATTTGAACTCTGTTAACCTTGTAAGAAAACCTTTTTATACACACTGAAGAATGACTCGAATTACACTTTGATTATCCCATGTATCATCGTAATGTTTACTTGGAAAAATATCTTCCCTATGTGCTCTCTTTAAACAGATATTCAGTTTGCAACACAAGGACCAGGTCAAAAAACATAGTTTTAGATTTATAACACAGTTTACATAAATTACTAGTTAAATATCTTTTTTCTTATGTTGTGCTGTTCACTGTCCTATGTGAGGGGAGATTTGAGCGCTCACAAGCACGTTAAATCGCGTCTCATTCTATATGTGCCTGTCCCTAGTCAGGATACTGTGTGTGCTTCAGTAGTTGTTGTAGGTTGCTTTTTTATTTGTTTTTCGTTTATCGTTTTGTCATAAATTATACCATTGTTATTTTCGTTTGTCAAGCTTTTATAGCTGACTTTACGGTATGGGATTTTCTTATTGTTGCTATAATTGCTTAAAACCGCTTCATTTGGACTCTGTTGGATGGCCGTCTCATTGACAATCATACCACATCTCTTTATTTTATAAGTTTTATTGACTTATTTTTAAAGGCATCTACAACCAGTATGCTAGTTTAAAGAACATTTCTAATAAAACAAAAATTCTTCTTAAGAAGAAACAAGGTACAAGCTCGGGACTTGTACTGTTTGAAATTTTTGAAAATAACATGCTATAAAACATCATTTTGAGAAAGTATTGATATCACAGAATGCTATACAAGGGATGCAAATCCGGCTGCGGCTACGGCATAGACTATTTATATAAAGCCTTATAAAAGAGGAGACAGAAGACCTGGATACGCATATCTTGTATACAGAACAATTGTGATGATATTTTAAGATTAATATGGTGTATACTTATTTATACACTAGAGCTAGAAGTTATAAATCATCTTTTAAGTTAAAGAAATATAGTCACATAAAATCTTATAATGGCAGGTGAAAATCAGTTAAGATCCTGACAGTGTATTCTGGTAAATTCTTTGAAAAAATCCACGAAATAGTAAGGATTGATTTGATATGGATTTAATTTAGATATC